CCACCCACCGGTACTGGCCATATAAGGGCAGAGGGGCGGCTGCGACGTCACAGGGGGCTCGGCCCGGTTACTCAAACGGCCCGGGAGGTAGGAAGTGAGTCATGTGTTAATCAGCGCTCCTGACAGCAGCACCAGTCACGCCGGCTCCCGGAGATCACTGTCCGCCGTCCCGAGCGAGGGGGAGACCGCACCGCCACAAGGGGAAAAAGTTCTGCCCTCGTCCCACAACTGCTGGTAAGTAGGGACAGGAGCGGAGGAAGGGGCAGGGATACAAAAAGACAGAGAACAGTGAAGGAGTTTCGCTGAGCGCCGTGCCTTTGTTTCAATTGATAAGGCGATTATCGACCGGCAGTCCCGTCCACGCGTCCTAGAGCCGGGTCCGCTGAGAGAGCCGCCGCTTCGGGACCGGGTTCGTGAACGCGTTCGGGAAAGCCAGTACGTTTGTGCTTTCAACTGGGAAAAAACTTTATACATCTTTGATTCTCTCTCTTCGATGTACAAATATTTACCTGTAGACTCCGCCGCCCGCTGAGAGAAAGGACGTTCGTGTAACAAACACGTTACACGTGTAACTGTGTGATTATGTATTAATGTTTGGAAATCGAAACATTCCTACTGCTAGTAGGACTGGTACAGTTCGCTTCCAATAACAAACCCAAACAAAAACTTCTGCTGCTGCTGCTGTTGCTGTTAATACTACTGCTGTTAGCGGTACGTCTATTAATAATTCAGCTTTAGGCTCAGCTCGGTGTCTTCAGCATCTCCCAAGTCAGCTTGGTCTCGGAGCGGTCAGCAGGGGCTTTGAAATCGCTATTTTGAGCGATACTGCGCAGTCAGACCGCTGTTCTGTGAATTTCCAGCATTCACCTGATCGGGTCACGGCGATACCCTTATTTCACTTGCTTTGTCTCTGTCGTGTCTCTTTGATAAAGGAAGAGCAACCAATTGAAACATCGCTCGTGGGGAAACGAAGCAGGGAAGTGTTTTGTGTCCCAGGGTTCAAGGCCTCTTTCAGTCTTTGCTTCCTTTGTGTGTGTGTATAGAGATGTTTGATCCCCCCCCCCCCCCAAAAAAAAAATATTCCTGGTTCTCTTCGAGCACTTTGACCTGGATCAGAAAAGTCCACAAATTTCTGCTTGTATTAGGCAAAGGTGACATCAGAGCCCTCCCCTTAAATCAACTGTTTAAACTGAGCGTCTGTGTCAGGCCCTGTTTGGTGGAGTTCAGACCCCAGGATAACTTGCCCCAGAGGTCTCACACTCCATTGCTGGGGGGGCTGTTGTCTTCAGGCTCCTCTCCCAGCCAGAGCAGTTTATTAAACTTTTTTCTTAATTGGGCATATTGGGGTATATTTGCAGTTCTTTACACAAGACACTCAGACTAATTAAATTATGCAACTAATTGTTAAATGGTTAGAGTAGCCATGCAACTAATAGAATAATTAGAGTAATCAATAGCATTTCTTTTTCTTAATAAACATCCTCTTTTACATCCAAGAGCATCAGAAAATCAGTTTACTGTTTCTTGAATAGAAACGGAGAGTGTCCTACTTACTGAACATCTCACTGGCTCTACAGCACTGTACTGTGCCTTTACCCTGATCTCACTGGCTCTACTGTACGTTGAGTCTCTTCCTGTCTACTCGGGTAGACAGCAGTACTGCTTTGCTCTGTCACTTCATGGTGTGGGAAAAGTTTGAGCGCTGAGCTTTGCAGAGTGGCTTCAGGCTAAGCCGGGGGAGAGAGAGGCAGACGAGTCGATCTCTGACCACACATTGAGTCATCAGCGGAAAACAGCTGAGCTGAGCTGAGCCTGACGGCGCGCACACTGAGGGTATCTGTGTTTCTCGGCTCGCAGATCACAAGGGTGCAGGTGGCAGGGGGGGCACACCGAGATGCGTGCAAGTGAGGACGCAGAGCCGTGGGCTGGAAATCAGGGCTTTGAAGTTCGAGGCGTCTGAAAGAGAGATGCGCCTTCGCTCTGCGTGTCTGTCGGTGACGCAGGCCCAGAAGTCTCCAAACAAACCCTGAAAACAAAACACAACGGCACCCACGCGGCACGCTGCTGAACACGGGAACAGAGCCGCCATCCGCTTGTTCAACGCCCCTGCCACTCTTTGTGTAAAGAGGTCCCTACTGTTCCCGGTTTTAAGTTCACCTGCCTGTAGTTTCCAAGTATGTCCCGTGGTTCATGTTTCCATGGGTGATCCTGCGACCCGCAGATGCCTGGGAGCGAGTGGTGCCGCAAGCAGTAAGGTTGAGGTCGGGAAGAGGGATCGGAGGGTGCACAGGGCGAGTAAGATCGTCATCGTCGTTATTCCAGGGCTAAGTGAAAGGGTTGTTTCATCCTTTGCGTTGATCGGGGTTGTGGAACTAACTTGGGCTCAAGGGGCTGTCCTGCACTGACCGGCAGAAGCAACAGAGAGACTACAAGGGGACCTGACAGGGGATCGGAAAACCCTCCGAGATACTGTACGCAAAGGGTGGTGGGAGTGTGGAACAGGCTCGCCCATCCATGTTGTTAAAGCTGACAGCCTGGTTTCCGTCTAGAAACAGCTGAACTTGTGACACTTCAACAGGCTAGAAGGGCAGAACGACACTTTTGTTTGTAGCGTTTCTTATGTGCTGGGAAGTGGCGGATGTGATTTTATCCTGTTATTGTTATGGGCGCTGATGGAAGCCGCGGTACTGTGCGAGTGGCTGGGGTAACTCTCTTTCCTGGCACGCTCCGCGCTCTCGCTGCGTCACACCATCACAGCTTCAGTGACGTCGCGGGGCATGACCTTGACCGGAAGAGATTGTGCAACCGCTTGAAATGCATCAAGTCCTACAGACGGGGATTCTGCAAGACCGAGATCCTGCTCCTGCTGCCTCAGTCCCACGTGTACGGCCCCATTACTTACAGTTCCCTCGCTGGGCTTCCATTCATTCTTGGGCTGGTTTATACCTGAGGGCGCTTGTGCCTGGCTGATGTGGACATTGAATGCTGCTTCTCTGCCTACAGGGCAGCTTAGTGCTCAGCTCTGCTGGCTCACCGCTCCGGGGTCACGGGTTCGACTCTAGATGGAGGTACCCGTCTGGGGAGCTTGCGTGTTTCTTCCTGTCCTCTGGGGTCCGTGAACGGATGTCCTGGTGGGGTTGATCGGCCCCTCCGAGGTGTATACTCTGTGATTCCCGGAGAGTCTCCGGTATCCTGATGGTGATGGAATATTTCCTGATTGTGGATAAACGCGTACAGGGAAAATCGTGGGCAGTAAGAAAACGGCCTCAGTGCGCTGGCTGGGGGGGGTTCATGGTGAAGAGAAGTTTGGCAGAAGTTTTTTTGGTAATCTGTTCTTCTCCGACTTGTGTTCGGCAGAGATGTCTTTTTACACATTTCCTGCATCCACTGCCCTCTGTGGGTTTTTATTTCACCAGAAACTGCAAAATCATTTGAGCAAGAGCAGTAAACGTCCCGAGATTCTGGAGGTGGAAACGGTCTGTCCTGATAGCCTGGGCTCATGAGGACAGTACCTGGCTCAGTTCGGTCCCTGAGAGCCCCAGTCCTTCAGGGGCTCTGGAGGTCTTCAGTCAGGGGTTAAAGGTCACGGTGAATCTGGGCTCATGAGGACAGTACCTGGCTCAGTTCAGTCCCTGAGAGCCCCAGTCCTTTAGGGGCTCTGGGGGTCTTCAGTCAGGGGTTAAAGGTCACTGTGAATCTGGGCTCATGAAGACGGCAACTGTCAACGCTAAATGTAATTGAGATCTGACTGGCTAGAATATATTCAAACAGGAGCAACATGCATAAGGTAATAAAACCTCTATGGTCTTGAACAGAGAAGTGCCCTGGACTCTCTTCATATTCCCAAGAGCTTTAGAAGTAAAATAGGCCTTCAGCTTTTTGATGTTTTTTTTTTCTGCCCCACCCGTGTTCTGCAGGAGGAGGCCGTGGTGATAATAATAATTCCTCACACTTAGATAGCGCTTTTCTGGACACTCCACTCAAAGCACTTTACAGGTAATGGGGATCCCCTCCACCCCCACCAGTGTGCAGCCCCACCTGGATGAACGGGTACAGTGGTACAAGACCCAGAGCGAGAGCTTAACCCGTCTCTCTCTTTCTCCTCCAGCAGGAGGCGATGAAGAGGGAGGTGAATGCGGCTGTGGACTTCCTGCTCCGGCTGGTCCAGGAGCGGGGGCGCGTGGAACAGAGCCGGGCCCGCCGGTTCGCGGACGAGCTGCGCGGCATCCTGTCTGAGCGGTTCTCCCAGCACTGGTACCCGGCCAATCCCAGCCGGGGGCAGGCCTTCAGGTAGCCAATCGAAGCCGAGCGAAGGGCGCATATCTAACGTTCTGCATCTGCTCCCGGCAGCTGCTGCCAGTTCACTTCCTCCTTTTCTCATGCAAAGGTCAAATTGGTGTTTTTATTATGACATTATTATTATTATTCCAAAGGTGTTTATTTAACCTTTCATTAAAGCAGGAAGCTTCTCTCAGCCCGTTTTAGCCTTGAGTTATGGCCTGCTCTAAAGGTCAGGGTAGCTGGTAACAATGGCGCGTCCTGTTCTCTGCCCCGGCCCTCGAGCACGCGGGGGTAGTGGGGTCTGCAGAACTCCTTCAGCAGGTGGGAGATCTCCGAGCCGGACAGGCCGGGGTCTGCTGGGGTCGTGTCCTCCTGTCTGACCCGCCCCGTCTGTCCGTCTGTCCAGGTGTATCCGCATCAACGCCCTGGCGCCCTGCGACGAAGCTCTGAGCCGCGCCTGCCGGGCCAGCGGGCTGCAGCTGTCCGAGCTGGGCCTGCCCCCCGAGATCACCCTCTGGATCGACCCCTTCGAGGTCTGCGCCAGGTGAGTCCGAGGGTCACCCGAGAGGGGCCCGTCGGTGTTGCTGACTGACGCCCGCAGCTGCTCCACCTGTGTCTTGAAAGAAGCCAGAGAGTCGGCTTCCACAGCGTGGCTGGGCTTGTTCCACACTCCCACCCCCCTCTGTGTGAAGGAGGATCTGGCTGTGCTAGAGGGTGGCCTGTCTGCTGACAGCTGCTCACGGGGCTGAGCCAGAAGAAGCTGCCACCCTGTGCTGGGCTTCCAGTGTGAAGCCTCACTATCGCCCTCGTCTTGACTTCCTGTGTGCTTCGGTCTGACCCACCGCCAGTCTGCACAAGGGCTGCACTGAGGCGCTCGCGCAGGAAACCGCGCAAGCAGCGGCGAGACGGAGACCGAGAGCGACGCCACGGTGAAACGCAACTTCCTCCACGTCGCCCTGGAGCGGGGAGCCGGGCCTGCACCCTCAATCCACGCAAAGCGCAGCACTGCCCGTGTTTGGGCCTCCTCCTGTTTGTGCCTGGTGGTGTCTCTCTGCCTTGAGGATTGTGGGATTGTAGTTGTGCACCATATGCCCAGAAGTTTTTTTTTTTAAAAACAGGCTCCACTCTCTCTGACTGTCCATGACCTTCGACCTTGTCCGGGCTTGTCTCCCCTGTCCAAACCCTCTCTGTTCTTGAACATGTCAAACACCTGGAACTACTGCGCCTGGACTGATGGCGGGTCGATCGATCTGACTCGTTAGTTGGTTTTTCCCATCCCCAGGTCGAGAGAGCGCTGCCACCCCTTCATCGTGGCCAGCTTCCGCCAGGAGGAGGAGGAGGAGGAGGAGGAGGAGGAGGAAGAGGAAGAGGCGCCCCCCGTTCCGGGGCATGAGGAGGAGGAAGAGGCGCCTCCCGTCCCGGAGCCTGGCTCAGAATCCCGGGTTCAGGACACCTCGGACTACCACTCTGCCAGCTCCTCGGACTGCAGCTCCGAGACCTTCAGTGAGAGCGAGGAGGAGGAGGAAGGGAGGAAGAGCGAGAGAGAGCCAGGAGCAGAGAAGAGGGATAAGGGGGGCATCGTCATGGTGCCCCGCCCCAGGGAGCTGAACAAGCACCCCAGAACACAGGTAAGCACGGAGCCCCATCCAGTCACCCAGACATCACTTTCCCTGGGGAATTCTCTCTCCCTGGCTGCCCACTGTTCTTCAGTCCCCCCCTTCCCTCTTCAGGAGGATGCTGGGAGCTGGGGGGGGGACCCTTAGCCCCCAGTTTGAGGCAAAGGATTCTGGGTGCAGGGCCTGACGTATACACCTCTCTCTCTCTCTCTCTGTGTGCTGCAGGCCCCCCAACTCCAGTACTTCTACCAGCCAGCCCCTGTGTGGCCCCAGCTCAAGAAGAGGAGGGCGGCCATGTTCCTCACCCCTGTCTACCCGGCCCCTGTCCTGGGGTACTACGTCCTGACCAAGCAGACACCCCAACCTCAGTTCATCCTCCCCCAGGCCTCCCTCCAGCACTGGGGTGCAGCCAAGGGATAGCCCCCCCTGGGTGGGGTCCCGCAGCACGGACAGTAAGGGATCCCAGAATCCAAAATTCCTCCTCCAGCTTATCCTCCGTGTGTCTCTCGCGCGGGAGCCACCACTGAGCAACTGGTAACGCTCTCCCTGTGCCAGGCTGCTTAATTTTACACTATTTTAATAAAACAAATCTCTTCTCGCGGCTGGAGCAATCGCCTTCACCTGTCCGCCTTCTGCAAAACACTGCTACCTCCTGAGCGGCCGTTCAAGCGCTCCCTGTATCGCCAGTTTTCTTTTTAAAGACATACAACTTTTATATTTTTATTATTGCGCCGTTGGATCGCGTGCAAATGGAAGGGGGGGGGGGCACCTCGTCCTCCGCCTCCCAGCACGCTCCATGCTTTTGTTTTTAATCTTCTCGCTCGCACGAACCGAAGCGCCCCGCCTAGACCGGAACTGGTTTGTGAAAAGCGTCACTTCCGGTGTGTGCAAACCGCAATGGTGCCTTGACATTCACCCCACAGTCGCGAGGTGGTGCTAATGCGTTAGTCTTTTCAGTTTTATGCTTTTAGAGAATTTTGCTCTGTAGAAAAAAAGAAATCGGCTATTTGCACTCGATCAGGGAAGCTTGAATGTCACCGTGATATTTAAATGTCCTGCACGTAGAATTTACATTTCTGCTGTATGATTTTTTTTATTAACCTATCATTTTATTACTGTTTTATACTGAATTATTTTCTATTTATTTCTTGTTTTGATGTACATTTTTTT